ATATATATATATATATATATATATATATATATATATATATAATAATATTAATAATAATGATAAACTGTATGGCACGGAATTTTGGCGACTATACCAGATAATCGAATTAATTCGCCTTCGCTTTCGCGAAGAAAAGTTTCAATAAAGTTCTCTCGGTTATTTACATAAAATCACGCAAAAATATTGCAAAAATTACACGGGGGTGACAATCGTGAATATGTAATTGCGAATCGTAAGTACTTTATTCCCGCGATTTCACGGCTCGCGAGTGGTGCAATTGAGAAGAACGATAAAATCGTATAAAGCACATAATGATATCGCTCGCGGCGCCGAAGGTAATTCGCTATCAAGTCATGTGTTGTCAAAAACGAAGTACAGCCACACATGATTGTGTATTAACGTACCCCCCTACCTACATTAATGTTATTACACGTTCATATCCGAGAAAAATGCGTTTATATTATCGGCATAAGAAAAATGCATCTTTGCACTTATCACGATCCTCGAGACACAAACTGTCGGATCATTTTCAAAGTGAGATTCTGAAATTTTTCTTTTATATTGGTTGATCTTGTCGGTTGAGACACGATACTCAATTATTATCGTCGCTATCGATGATTTTCGATTATTATCTCCGGAAAAAAAAGAAAACCTGAAAAATGATAGAATATAATATATCGTTGATATTAATAGCACTTTGTTGCCGTTTCTAGTACACTTGACAGTGCACAAGGTCAATGTGTTTTTTTACGCGCAAATCGTTTTCACAGGTGGACACGCCGGATTTGCCTCCTCGTCGATTTAGCCGCGGCACGGGTTCGTCTGTACTTCTTACGCGCTATCTACGACGTTCGCAAGAAAATACACGAAGCAAATCGAAAGATTAACGCGATAATTCATTACCGTGGCCATAACTCGCTATCTGGTTCCGACTGGCGGCAACGCGGAGGAAGACGAGGCAAATCGGTGTAAAACGCAAGGTAAATGGATTGGAGGAAGAATCAGAATCAGAAGTCGAAATTTTCATTCATTTCGACATAACCTTCTGGAAACTACTATATTCAGAAAGTTACCCAGTAGTTATCCAGTAGTTGCTCTCCCGTACCATTAAACTTTCTTTTGATGCAAGGCTACGATCGTTCTTAAACAGCCGCTCCCTCGCCGACGGTATGCTACAATCACAGGCTTCGTTCTCAAAACCAA